GTGTGTGTGTGTGTGACACATTAAAGTACCTTAGAGGGCACTGGGGACTTCTTTCAGCCCACATGTCCCTCACCTCCCCCTAGACCACAAAACCTGCCTTGACCAGCCTCTGCTTCTCCTTCTTTCCTCATTACTGACTCAGAGCCCCTCAGAGCCCCCTACCTCCCTACCCTATGATTCCTCCAGGCCTTTCCTCCCAGGCTGTATGTCACAGTGTTCAAGTCCTCCCTCTGTTCCTCCCCCCGTAGCTTCCTCTCCCCATCTTCCCTCCACTCTTCTCGCTGGTCTGGGGCCAGGGGGATCCCAGGCCCAGCCCTCCAAGGGTTCCTCCATAGGGCAGGGGTAGGGGAGGGCTCTCGGAGCTGTGACCAGTGGAGGGTGGGGCCCACAGAGCTGGCTCACCGGCCTAGGCAGCTGCAATAGCAGGGGTGGCTCATGGGGTGAGGCCCAGCCCCCTGCCTCCCCTCCCTTCCCCCAGGTATAAGAGCTGAGCTCAAGCGAGCTGGTTCCTCCAGTCCAGTGTCAGCAGCTGCCAGCAGGTAAGGAGAGCCAGGGCTTGTCACCCAAACGGGCTGCTCCCAGTGCAGAGGGCACGCGGAGCCTGTCCCACCTTAGTCTGCCAGGGGAGGGGCTGGGGGACCAGGTCCTGGAGGTTGGGGTGTGTGTGTGTTTGGACAGGACTGAGGGTTGGGGTGTGGGTTGGAAGAGATGGGAGGAATGAAGCTAAGTGAGGCCCAAGGAATTCCCTCTAAACAGGTTGGCCTGAGGGCTGTGACCTTAGCTCCTGGAGCCTGGACAGGGACAGGGCTTGTGTGGAGTTGGCTCTGAGCCCCTGGGTGAAGCACAAAATATCTGGGGTGCAGCCAAAGGGGATAGTTGAGAAAGAAATGCTGAGTTCTCCCCTCACGCCAGCCTCCCCTCTCCTCTGAGCAGATCATGAGCCATCAGCTTCTCTGGGACAGGCCGTAGGACGACAAAACCCTCACCACAGGACCAAGTGCACCAAGTACCATGGGACAGTGTCGGTCAGCCAATGCGGAGGTGGGTCCATTCATTCCTGGCCTCTCTGTTCCCACCCTCCTCTCCTTCACCCTGAGGGTCTGTGTCCCCCCTTGACTTCTGCCCCCTAACCCAGGCCTTGCCCTGCACTCCTGACCCTGCCGGTGAGACCCGAAGCCCCTCTCTGGTGCCCACACAGGCTGATGTAGATGGGCCCTCCCTGGAGGAGGATGCCTGGGCCACGTGCTGGGACCTGCCCTGCCTGCGTGCTGGCGGGTGGTGGGGAGGAAGCCTTATCCAACCTGTGGCTCAGGGCAGAGGACAGCGGGGGCAAGGGGGCTGGATGCTGGGTTCTGGAGTGGGCGGGGGCCCACGTGCCTGCCAGCTGTCTTCGGCCCTGTTGGCTCTGCCGGTCTCCTGAGGAAACAGGGTGTCATAGGGTGGGTGGAGCCTCCCTGACATGGGCGATGTCCCTTGCCCTCAGGATGCCCAGGAATTCAGTGACGTGGAGAGGGCCATTGAGACCCTCATCAAGAACTTCCATCAGTATTCGGTGGAGGGTGGGAAGGAGACGCTGACCCCCTCCGAGCTACGGGACCTGGTCACCCAGCAGCTGCCCCACCTCATGCCGGTACTGAAGGAGTGGGCCCCACCCCAGGCAGTACCCTGACTTCCCAAGCAAGTGCTCCAAGACCCCGCCCACGCTGCCTGGGCCCCTGGCACTGGCAACCCCCAGCCCTACCCCTTGTCAGTGCCAGGTAGGCTCAGGTCCTGCTCCCTGCTCCTGGGCAGGCTTGGGTGGGAAGGCTGGAAGGTCCTCCTGCCTGAGCTGTGGTGTCTTTCCTTCTCTCAGAGCAACTGTGGGCTGGAAGAGAAAATCGCCAACTTGGGCAGCTGTAATGACTCTAAACTGGAGTTCGGGAGTTTCTGGGAGCTGATTGGAGAAGCAGCCAAGAGTGTGAAGCTGGAGAACCCTGTCCGGGGGAGTTGAAAAGCTTCCCCTGGAATTGGAGGGGGATACTGGGGAAAGGGGACTTTAGAGCCTATGGGCTTGGAAATAAAACTCCTCCCCACCCCCCTACACTATTCCCCAGCCCCACCTGCCTCACCTCTGCAAGGTTCAGGTCCATAATGGCCCTGCCAGGGGCCTCTATGCATTTCATCCCTGGGAGCTCCCAGGAGCTAATGGGTCCAGTAGTGCCCTGTCAGAGGAAGGCTCGGGGGGCGAGTTGGGGCCAGGGATGGATGTGGAGGGATGCTGGAGGGTTGAGGATGGTGTAAGGGCCTGATCATTTGGTGATGGGGGAAGGGCAGTGAGGAGCTGGGCTACGTGAAGTAATCTGAAGGGGGTGGGAATAAGGCTGGATATTTGTTACGAAAAAGGGTCTCTAAGAACCTACCCCTCCTAATCTCTTCCCCAACCCAAACTGTAGCTGTCTGTCCAGTGCTACCCCTCCCTGCCTCTTCTTCTGCCCCAGCCTGCTCCCAGGACTTGTCCCTGGGCTGGGGAGGGGAAAAGAGAGAGAGCAGGGTGGGGGAGAGGCTGAGGAGGGTGACTTTGGGAGCGAGAGAACCAGCTGGGTGCTTGGGCATTTAAAAAATGATGATTGTTTTGTATCATTTGATTAATAAAAAAATGGAAAAAGTGAAAGATGTTGTCTTGATTGGACACCCTCCCAGGGTCCATGGGTGAAGAGATGTTGGGGTGAATGGCAGTCACTGGGTGGTGTGGGCTGTGCAGGGCTGCCATGGTTGGCAGTGGAAGTGAAGGGGGGATTCACTTTCCCCCATGGATTTGGGTTGAGGATGGCATCAGGCCTAAAAGGTGGGAGACCTGTCCTCTCTGAGGGACAGGCTTCTCTTTGCCAGTGACCTGGCCCTCTGACAGGAGAGGAGAGCATGGAAAAGGATGTGAACCTGTGCCCAGAGGGTATAGCTCAGTGGTAGAGCATGTGCTTAACATGCACTAGGTTGTGGGTTCAATCCCCATTACCTCCATTAAAAAAAAAAAAAAGGGATGTGAACTCAGTTGTGCTGGAGCCTGGCTGACTAGTAGCTTGGGAACTGTAAGACTGAGAAACAGACTGACTGGTTTGAATCTCTGCACTCACTATCTTTGGAACTTTGGACATGCTCTCAGAGTGTCAGATTACTCACCTGGAAAGTGGGGATATTCATAGTCCTTCCCTCGCAGCATTGTTAGGAGGATAATACAGTGACACATCATGTAAAGGATGGGTCTCCTCTGGTTTCAGCTGTTGCCTCTGGGATGTCAAACTGGCCAGTTCCCTTGGGTATCTTGGAGAAAGGGTGGAGGGGTGTTTCCAGAGGAATCCGCTGCTGCATAGGAGAGGTCCTAGGAATGGGTCAACTGGAAGTGGAAGACAAAGACACTCTGGTCCTTTCTGACTTGAGCCCATAGAAATCAGGCATTACACCTGAAATCCCAACAGCAAGGAAGTTTCTGCGGCCAGCCAGCCAGGCATGGAAAGCTAACTGAACTTGTCTGTTAGGGGCCCCTGAAACTGGGCTCCCAGTGACCCAGGTGAGAAGGGCAGGTGACAGTCCTTCCCTTTCTTTCTCGAAGCTGTAAATTCTGCTCGGGCCTGGTGGGGCTGGGAGGGTGGGGTTAGGGGAGTGCCAGCTTCCACCACTCCCTCTGGGGTGGGAGCCAAGGAGTGTTAAAAAAAGGTGTGTATCCCTTTAACAAGGGCCCAGCCCCGGGGCCAAGACGAGAGGGAGCTCAGTCACTACCTTCCCACCGAGCCAGCTCAGCCAGGCAGGGCCGGGAGGGAGTGGGACAGATTCTGGGAGTGCAGTGGGGAGGAGCCCTGGCGGGGCTGAGTGTGGAGCTGCTTCAGCTCCAGAGCCCAGGCCCCAGAGCCCTGCGGGAGAGGAGGTGGATCCAGAAGGCAGGTGAGCACCCCAGGTCCGTCCTGGGAGACATGGGCCTGCCAGAGGGGCCCTGCTGGCCTGGGAGGCCTGGAGAAGGGGCAGTGAAGGGGGCCTGAGCAGGGGGGCCTGCTAGAGACTGGGCAGGAAGGTTTCGTTAATTGTTAACTTTCCCAAAAGGCCAGTTGGGGAATGGAGAATTCTGGTGAGGGGGTCAGCGGGAGAGGCCTTCGGTGGAGTGGAGGCGGTGGCAAGATCCCCTCCCTGGCCCAGCAGCTGACTGGGCTCCTCTCCAGGGGCTGGGCCACCAGGCAGAGTGTTCAGAGTGTTTGGTAGCTTTTGCCCACAGCTGCTTTTCCCCAACAAGAAAAGTTTCCCCAACAGAAAAAGGGCAGATTTTCCCCAACAGAAAAAGATGTATGTTGGAGGGGGTCGGGGAGCGGTCAGACCTTGGACGCAGGTCTCACTGGGCTCTGGGGGCTGTATCCTGGGAGAGGTGATGGGGTCCCGGAGGAGCCAGGGAGGGTCCCAGGGAGCCTGAGAGCCCGAGGACAGGAGGCAGGCACCTCATGACTCGGGCAGGTCCCCAAGGCTGGCCCCACTGTGCTCTGGGAGCTGTTCTGTGTGTGGGAGGGACGATGGGACCCAGGAAGAACCTGGGTGAGGCCCCCTGGAGCCTGAGCTCCAGGAGAAGGGTCTGGAAAGCGGGCAGCATCTCCTCCACCTCGGGACCCAGGCAGGTCCTGGCTTGACTTGCTTTGCTTGGGGGAGCCACCTGCACCCTAGAGCTCTCCCCTGCCTGGCCCTGTCCAGGTGGGTGGGGGTGAGGGCAGCGGTGCTGGGAGAGGGCACACTAGGGTGCTGGGAGTGGGGCTCCCTTTCCCCATCTGCTAGGAAAGAGCTCTCTGGGCTTTGGTGGGGCCAGGGGCAGCAGAGTGTGTGTGTGCACCTAACTTCGGAGGAACAGGCTTCTTCTTCCAGTGAGATCCTCCGAAAACAAGAGTGTTTGGAGGGTAGATGGTTCACCCAAGCAGAAGGAATCAGAAATGGCAGGATTCCTTGCTCATTGTGTACGTAAGTGTAAACGTGAGTTAGATGCAGTGAGTCCTGTGAGGGTGGGGAGGGCAAGACTGGGACACGTGGGTGAGATGCTAGCCCTGGAACTGGGGAAAGAGCATGAGAAGAGGGAACAGAGAATGGAGCTGCAGAGGCTGGAGAGATTAATTTGAAACAGCCTTGCAAACAGAGTAAAGCTTCACCAGCCCAGTGGAGATGGCACCTTCCCTGTGTGCTACAGGCAGTTGGGGCAAGTGAGTGAATTAAGAAGGAAATGAATGAGTGAATGAATGAGAATGAATAATTGAGTCCATGAATGAGTGAATAAACAAGTGAATGGTGGATAAATGAGTGAACAAATTCGAGGTAGATGGAAGGGACACAGAGAACAGCACAATTAGGCTTCAGAGTGGTCTAGGCTCCTGAGGGGAGGTGACTAGGAGTGATAGGAATGCAGGGACATTCCCAACACTTGGGAACAATTTAACACTCAAGGAGTGTGTGTGGAGATGGGAAGAGAAGGTGAATTTTAGAGAGTGTGGTGGATGTTCAGGGCTCCACGTTGAAGGGGACTGGGGAGTTGAAGAGGCAGGGTGAATGGGCGAAGCTAGGAGGGGTGGGGCCCAGAACCTGGGGGTGGGAGGGCGGGGCTGGAGTGGCTGAGACCCAGGGGCATGGTGTCAGGGCAATTTGGGCTTTTGGAGAAGTCAGCAAGCTGGGCTGAGGTGGGTGGGGTGGGGGTGGGTCCTCTTGGTTGCTCAATGATGAATCAGCCATGGAGAAGACAGTGAGAGCACTTGGGGAGGGTTGGGGGCCCCACTGTCCTCTGCAGGGCAAGTCCCTCCATTGCCATTTTGGGAAGTCTACAATGTACCATCCATCTCCCCGCTAACTCTCAGCCCAGGATCTACCTGTGGCGAAGTGAATGCAGGCGTTACCTCCTGCCCTGCCCTTCCCAGGGAGGGACCAATGGGACAGCCAGCTACCTCCCCTTCCCACAACCCCATGCCTGGGGACCCTCCGGCCCGGTTGGTGGGAAGACTGGGCAGGCTGGAGGAGCAGGTGACCTTGGCATGGGTGTGGTGGCAGAGCCCCCAGGGGAGGGAAGGGGAAAGAGGGTAATGACACCTGACTCCCCCCCCAATACCCTTCCTTCAGAAAAAGCTTCAGAAAAGCATTTGTCCAGATTGTTATCTCCAGAGTTGTCTATTTGACTAGAAGAAGGTGGTGTGGGGATGATTGGGAGGCCTGGGAGCCGAAGCCCAGCTCTCTGGGGTGACTGCGTACCTGACAGCAGGTGCTGAGATGGCTCCTGCAAGCTCACCTGTGTCTTGCCAGGTAGAGGCTGAGGCCTGGGCTCAAGAAAGGGCAGGAGTAGGCTCCCCTGGTCAGAGGAACAAGACTCCGAGAGGGAAGATGGTGGGAGGGGAGTGGGTGGCCAGTAGGGAGAGGGGCAGAGGCACACTACTGCTTAAAATCCGTCTCTTTCCTTTCCCTGACTTCCCCACGGACTTCTCACTTAGGGTAAGAGGTCTGGGCTGGGTAAGGTGCTGGGGTTCTTTGAACTTCCTCCCCACTCCCAAGGCTGGTTGGAAATAGGCTTGACACCATCCTTGCTGAAAAGGGTGTAGCTTTCGGAATCCCCAGGAACGCTGGTCACAGACCTAGGCCACTCCCCACCCAAGGGCAGCAGGGCAGACAGCTCACAGATTGAAACATTTTTGTCTTCATTTGCGAACGCTAGACCATTTGTGCAGAAGTCTTACAAGGGTATAAACATTGAACCACACAGTTACACACAATAGATAAAAAGTATTGGAAAAAGAAATACGGTTTCCTACGGTCCTGGTTCCACACTTCATTCTTCTGGCAACAGACCAGAGTGATCAGGTGGATGTGGCAGGAGAGAGAAGGGGAGGATTCCTGATCAGAGTTGCTCTAACCTGACCCCTTTCCCTCTCAACTCTCTTTCCTTCCTGCATCCTGATTTTGTCCTTCTGGGTCTCACTCTTCCTCCAGAAAAAGCGTCATAAAAGAAAACTCTTAGAAGGATGATGCAGGGCCCTGGATACCTTGTAGCAGGGCCGAAGGAGGTGGAATATTTATAGAACACCTACCTAGAGCAGGGCATTGCTCCAGGCAACGTGGCCGAGGGGAGATGCGGAGATTAAATGCAGGGAGGTGGTATATCCAGGATTTTAAAAAACCCTCCCCAAATCTCCGAGTCCTACTGTTTGGTTCAGAAAACACAATGGCTGCATGTAAGAAACGCTCCCCTTGCTTCAGGGAATGTCTGATGTCTGGGGAGACAAGACCCAGGGAAAGACTGCAGCCACACCAGCGAGTGGGCCCCGCCAACGCTGCCTGAGTCTGTGGGAGTAGGGGAGGAGGGCGCTGAGGGCCAGGGTCAGGGCAGGCTTCCCCGGGAGGCGTGGTTTGGGCAGGCCTCAGCCAGGTGGAGAGGGCAGGGCAGTGGGCACCGGAGGAGGGGCGGATGGCCAAGGGGGGATTAGAAAGCAGGTGGCAGGGCAGGCGCAGTGGTGGGGCCCAGTGAAGCCCACCTTCCTCCCTTCCAAATCGAACCGTGGGATGCCCAGGACCAGATGGTGGCTGTGTCCGTCCACCTTCTCTTGCCAGGACCCAGTGGGCAAGGCGCTGCGTCTCATTCCTGGGCTTGAGGGTGGGAGGGGAGGCTCATTTGCCAGGGTTCACTTGGGGGGGCTCTGGGCATGGGCGGTGACTCACAGAGTAGATCCGCCTGCTCCCCTCACATCCTGTTATTCAGTGGGCTGTATCCGCTTGGAATGTGAGTGCCTTTTGTCCTGGGGCGAAGGGGTGACGTGTATAGCCTCTGGCTGGCTGCGGAGGAGGCTCCATCTCCAGCTGTCTCCAGCTGGGGCAGAGCCGGGCCTGGCTCCTCCTTAGGTAACGAGGTGGGGGGCCCTTGGATCCTACTGTATATTTTGGGGTGGGTATGAGGGATGATAGGCTGGCGGGCAGTGGCTGGGGGCCAGACTTGATGGATTGCCCTTTCCCAGAGAAGGGCATTCATGGCCTGAGACCCTGGATGCACTGTCCTGGAGCCTGGCTGAAGGGACTGGGTACAGCCTAGTCCCGCCTCCTGTTTTGTTGCCTGGGGCCGGGGTCTCAGCCAACACTGGGTTGGGGAAACAGTGGCTCCTGCCCCTCCCCAGCCCTGGAGGCCCATCCTAGCAGTTTCTAGCCGTGCTTGTCTCCCGTGTTTGTCTCCCGCAGCAGGGACCCTGGATGGGCCAGGTTTGGAGACGGCGGAGGAATGGGTGCTTGCCCTCCTCCCCTTCCCATGGGAGCCTCTATTCTCTCTGGAGCTGTGACAAGCCCAGTGCCTGGGGCTGGGGAAGGGCCTGGAAAACCTGCTGAGGCGGTTGAGCTGGGGAGCACCTGGGTGAGAGGAGACACATAGCTCTCATTCCAGGCCCACCCCCGCGCCCACCCTGGGTCCACTTTTCCCTTCCCCTCCCTTCTCTCAAGGACCAACCAGCCTGGGGAGCTGGGCGGTGGGGGCGGGGTGGGGCACGCAGGAGGACAAGGGCAGGGAGACCAGAGGGGCTGTGGCCTGCAGGGCCTCTTCTCATCTCCCCTCTGTCGCGGTGGCACCCAGGCCCCCTTGGAGGAGTGAGGCAGTGAGATGGCGGACAGCTACACGGAGCTGGAGAAGGCGGTCGTCGTCCTGGTGGAGAACTTCTACAAATACGTGTCCAAATACAGCCTGGTTAAGAACAAGATCAGCAAGAGCAGCTTCCGGAAGATGCTTCAGAAAGAGCTCAACCACATGCTGACGGTGGGGCCCCCTACCTGAGGGCTTGGCCTTCTCGCCCTCTCCTTCCCCAGCTCCGGAAGCCCTTGTCCTCTCTGGGTGTCCTTCCCCACCACTGCCTCTGTCCTTTCAGAGTTATCCCCCCAAACCAGGGTCTCAACCCCACCCAGGCCTCTGTTCTCAGGTGCCCAGGAAGGAGCCGCTGAGGGCTCTGTTCCCTTTTCCCCAAGGGCAGCAGCTGCCCAGCTGGACCCTGGACTCTGCCTAGGGTCCTGCAGGGGGGGCTCTGCGGAGCTGCCACCCTCAGCCCTGCTGACCCCTGATTCCTCCCCAGGACACGGGGAACCGAAAGGCTGCTGACAAGCTCATCCAGAACCTGGATGCCAATCACGACGGGCGCATCAGCTTTGATGAGTACTGGACCTTGATAGGCGGCATCACCAGCCCCATCGCCAACCTCATCCGCCAGCAGGAGCAGCTGAGCAGCAGCTAGAGGACCCGCCCCCTGTCCCTACCCCCAGTGCTCTTCCCAGGCTTCCTCCTCAGCCTCTTCTGCCCGCCCAGGCCCCCGTCCTCTCTTCTCCCTTCAGACCTTCTCCTGACCCTTGCTGATTAGGGAAGGGGGGGATGTCAGCGCCCCTTTGTGATTGTCTCAGTCTGGGGTGCCTCCCTGGGGCCCCTCTGTGAGATCTCAATGCTGTTTGGGGACCCAAGAGTTTCCCCACCTGTTCAGTCTATCTACCTTTCCAACGTCTGATGTTCCTACTTGATACCGGGTGTCTCCTGACCTTTAGAGGGCAGCTTGCTGCTTCAGGTCTCCCTGCACCGGGCAGCACCAGCAGAGACCTCTCTCCCCTTTCCCTCAGCCCCTCTGCTGGGTGGAGGAAACTTCCAGGGACTGCTTTCCAGCTGCCTTTGGGTCTGGAAACAGCAAAGCAAGATTGAGCCCCCTTCCTCCTGCTCAGCTGTGGAAATGGGCAATAAAGGCTGGATTTGAAGTTTGTGTCTCCCTCACCCAGTCCCTTTGTAATATTCATTAAAAACTTTCCACTCCTTGGAACCTCCTTATGCCTTGGTGATATTTGCCCTGGGCCCCGAGGCAAGGGGGAATCTCACCAAGAAACTCCAAGGCATAGCAAGAAGCAGAACTCAGCTTCCAGCAAGTGCTGTCAGCCCTGAGCCAGCAGCTCCTCCCCTCCTCTATGAAAGGCCAAAGGCCACCTGTCACCACCTCTGGGCCCTCACAGCCCAAACTCAACTCATATTCAGTTTCCAGGCTCACAGTTTTTCCCATTTGGTCCTCACTGCAATTACATGAGAGAGGGGCCATGACCCTCAGTCTTGAGTCATGAATAGTGTGAGATAATGAATTCTCAGCAACAGATTATTCTAATACATAGAAGTTTGTGGGATAAGAAAGTAAAAGCACAAAGGAAGAGGTGTGGGAGGCCAGGGTTGGAATTCGTAGCTGTTGGAGAGGACAATGCCAGCTTCTCTGTTTCTCCCCTGCTCTTGCATCAAGGGAGTCCCTGCCATGGAAAGACAGCACATGCCACCAAGGGGAGGCAAAGAAGCAGGGCAGGAAATCCAGGCTGCAGGGCTGGGTCGGTGGTTTTCAACCTGGGGCAGTGTACTCCAATGTTTAAGAGTTATCAAAAGATTATAGGCATAGACAGTTTTCATTGGAATCCATTTGAGATCCTTAACCTTCTAAAAGTAACCTACTTCTGAATGGGCTTGCAGTCAAGGTAGCATGCTGGTCTTTCCCATCCCTCCTTCACAATAAATATGGAAGGAATAGCCTTTACCTGTCCTGGGGATCACAATGCCACCTTGACTGAAATATGAAGAAGAATATTTTTGTGATTATATATCACATAATATTTGTGATATATATATATATATATCATTTATATATATATATATATATAATATACATCATATATATATTTGTGATAAAAACACACACAACATCAATTTACCTTCTTAACAAATTTTAAATGCACATTACAGTACTGTTAACTACATGCACGTGGTTGTACAGCAGATCTCCAGAAATTTTTCATCTTACAGGACTGAACCTCTGTACTCATTCAATAACAACTCCCCATTCCCCACTGCTTCAGCCCCTGGCAACACCATTCTACTTTCTGTTTCTATGAGTTTGATTCCTTTAGATACCTCATATAAATGGAATCCTGCAGTATTTGTCTTTTTGTGACTGGCTTATTTCAGTTAGCGTAATGTCCTTAAGGTTCATCCATGTCATAGCACATGACAGAATTTCCTCCTTTTGAAGGCTGAATAATATTCCTCGGCATGTATATACTACATTTTCTTTATTCATTTATCTGTCAAGGGATATTTAGGTTGCTTCTAGATCTTGCCTATTGTGAATAATGCTGCAATGAACATGGAGTGCTAGTTTCTTTTCAAGATCCTGTTTTCAGATATTTTCAATGTATATCCAAACGTGGGATTGCTGGGTATATAGTAGTTCTACTGCTAAAAATCTGAGGACACGCCATACTATTTTCCATAGTGGATGCACTATTTTACATTCCCACCAACAGTGTACAAGTGTTCCAATTTCTCCACGTGCTCACCAATACTTGTTATTTTCTGTTTTCTTGTTTGTTTGTTTTATAGTGGTCATCCTAATGAGTGTGAGATTATACATTATTTTTTAAAAATTTGCATTTCCCTGATGATTAGTGATGTTGAGCATCTTTTCACATGTTTCTTGACCATTTGTGTATCTACTTTGGAGAAATGTTTATTCAGCTCCTTTGCCCATTTTTAAATGTTTTTGTTGTTGTTGTTGTTTCATTTTAGGTTTTTTTTGTAATTGAGTTGTAGTTCTTTATATCCTGGATATTAACCCCTTATCTGATATATGGTTTACAAATATTTTCTCCCATCCTGTACGTTACCTTTTCACTCTGTTGATTTTTTCCCACAGAAGTTTTTAAGCTTAATGTAATCCCATTTGCCTATTTTTGCTTTTGTTACCTGTGTTTGGTGACATAGCCAAGAAATCGTCACTCATTACAAGGTCATGAGGATTTTCCTCTGTTTTCTTTGAGGGGTTTTATAGTTTCAGGTCTTATGTTTAGGTTTTTAATCCATTTTTTGGGTTAATTTTTGTATATGGTGTAAGGTAAAGGTCCAAATTCATTCTTTAGCATGTGGATATCCAGTTTTCCCAACACCATTTATTGAAGAGACTTTCCTTTCCTCCTTGTGTGGTCTTGGCATCCTTGTTGAAAAATCACTCGACCATGTATGTGAAGGTGTATTTCTGCATTGGTCTGTATGTCTGTCTTTTTGCCAGTTCCATACTGTTTTGATTACTGTAGCTTTGTAAAATGTTTTGAAATCAGGAAGTGTAAGGGCTTCAGCTTTGCTCTTTCTCAAGATTTTTTGGGCTATTTGAGGTCATTTGAGGTTCCATATGAATTTTAGGATAGTTTTTTTCTTCTTCCAAAAAAAATTCCATTGGAATCTTGATAGGGATTGCGTTTAATCTATAGATGACTTTGGATAGTGTGGACATTTTAATAATATTAAGTCTTCCAATCCATGAACATAGGATGTCTTTCCCTTCATTTGTGCTTCTTTAATTTCTTTCAATAATGTTTTGTAGTTTTCAATGTACAAGTCTTTTTCCTCCTTGGTTAAGTTAATTACTTTACATATTTTTTTAATGCTATGGTAAATGGAATTGTTTTCTTAATTTTATTTTTGGATTGTTTATTGTTAGCATATAGAAACACAACTCATTTTTGAGAGTAGATTTTGTATCTTGCAACTTTGCTGAATGTGCTTATTAGTTCTAACAATTTCTTTGTGAAATCTCTAGGTTTTGCACATGTAAGATTATGTCATCTGTGAACAGAGATAATTTTAGTTCTTCTTTCCCCCATGTGGATGCCTTTTATTTATTTTCATTGCCTAATTGCTTTGGCTAGGACTCCAGTATTACACTGAACAGAAATGGTAAAAGTGGGCATCTTTGCCTTGTCCCTGATCTTAGAGGAGAAGTCTTCTGTTTTTCACTGTTGAGTATGATGTTTACTGTGAGCTTTTCATTATGATTGACTTTTATTATGGTGAGGTAGTTTCCTTCTATTCCTCATTTGTTGAGTGTTTTTATCATGAAAGGGTATGGGATTTTGTCAAATGCTTTTTCTGCATCAATTGAGATGATCATGTGTTTTTTTTTCTCCTTCATTCTCTTAATGTGGTGTATTATATTTATTGATTTTTGTACGTCAAATCATCTTTGCATCCCAGGAATACATCCCACTTGGTGATGGCATATAATCCTTTCGATGTGTTATTGAGTTCAGTTTGCTAGTATTTTGTTGAGGATTTTTTGCATCAGTATTCATCAGGGATATTGGCATATGGTTTTCTTTTCTTGTAGTATCTTCATCTGGCTTTGGTATCAGAGTAATGCTGACCTCCTAGAATGAGTCTGGAAGTGTTCCTTTCTCTTCAACTTTTGGGAAGAGTTTGAGAAGGATTGGTGTTAATTTTCCTTAATTGTCTGATAGAAAAGTGCATTGAAACTATCTGGTTTTGGGCTTTTCTTTGTTTGGGTGTTTTCTTGATTACTGATTCAGTCTCCTTACTAATTATAAGTCTGTTCAGAAATTCTAATTCTTCATGATTCAGTGTTGGTAGGTTCTGTGTTTCTAAGAAGTTACCCATTTTTTCTAGGTTATCCAAATTTTTGGCTTACAATTGTTCACACTAGTGTCTTATTATCCTTTGTATTTCCCTGGCATCAGTTGTAATGTCTCCTCTTTCATTTCTGACTTCAGCGATTTGAATCTTTTCTTTTTTTTTTCTTAGTTAATCTAGCTAAAGACTTGTCAAATTTGTTGGTATTTTAAGAATTACTCTTAGTTTATTGGATTTTTTCTGTTGTGTTAATTCTCTATTTCTTTTATTTCTGTTCTGATATTTATTCCTTTCTTCCTTCTGCTAACTTTAAATTTAAATTTTTTTCCTTTTCTAGTTCCCTGGGGAGTAAAGTTAGGTTGAGATTTGATATTGCTTTTCTTTTTATTTTCTTTTTATTAAGTTTTTCAAAGAGCAGTTTTAAATTCACAGCAAAATGTAGGAGAAGGTATATAGATTTCTCATATATTCCCTGCTCTGACACATGTGTAGCCTCCCCGATTATAAGCATATTCCACCAGAGTGGTGCATTTGTTACAATAGATGAAGCCACCTTGACACATCATAATCACCCAAGGTCTATAGCTTACAATTACATTCCATTCTTGGTGTTGTACATTCTACGGGTACATGTATTTGGATAAATGTATAATGACATGTATCTGTCACTATAATATCATACAGAGTAATTTTATTGCCTTAAAAATCCCCTTTCTTCTTTTTCTAATGTAGATGCTTACTGCTATAAATTTCTCTCTTTGTACTGCTTTTCCTGCATTTCATGTTTTGGTATGCTATGTTTTTATTTTCATTTGTCTCAGGTGCCAAGTCCTTGATGTGGTGGTTCCTTGAAACCTAAGGTGCAGGTGTGCCATGAGAAATCCCAGAGGCAGCTCAGAATAGAGCTCCTTTCGCTGTCCCTGATTTGTGTCTGGAGACCAACACTTCCATCCCTCTAGGACTTTAGAACAGCTGGCCCTGAGCTGTTCTAAAATGAACAGGTGTGTGACCTCAGCTAGAGGCCTGTTTCTAGAGGGGTCTGAGCACAAGCCTAGAGTGCTGGGGAGGATGCTGAGCTTCAGTGGAGGTCAGAGAACCTTAACAACAGTCAGCGCTTGGGCTGCAGGGCCTGAAACCATAGAGGCCCCAAAGGAGCTAAAGCAGCCACTGCAAAGTCAGGCAGCTCAGCTGGAGGCCTCCCTGGGGAGTGCTGGGGTCAGAGAAGGGTGGGTCTTCCTCTCTCCCCAAGGAGTCCAGGGACCAGACAGCCTGAACAGAGCAGGGGAGAGGGAGCCAGAAGCAGGGTCCTGTGGGGGTCCCACAGGGGAGC